GCCTGTAGTCCCAGCTACTTGGGAGGCAGAGGCAGGAGACTCGCTTGAGCCCAGGAGTTGGAGGTTGTTGTGAGCTGTGATGCCACGGCAATCTACCCAGGGGGACAGCTTGAGGCTCTGTCTCAAAAAAAAGAAAGAAAGAAACTTCTAACTTATTTGAACCATTGTAAATTAATAATCATAACAGTTTAAACTACTCTAATTAATATACCCAGATTATCAGCTTTAATCCCCTCAGCAACCTTATGAAATTATTACTATTATTATTTTCCTGATATTGGAAGTCAAGAAACTGAAGCACTGAGAGTTTAAGAAACTTGCCTGCCACTTCGTAAAAGCCAAATTCAAGTGAAGCAGTCTGGCTCCAGGTCCACACACATTAGTAACTCCTGTCAAATAGCTTAAAAGAAACAGTTATTCTCATATGTTATGCTACCCTGCACCAGATTAACTTTTTACAACCCCTGTTCCAATCCCAGCAGCGTGGTGACTACTTGCCAACAATGTACCCCTGGGAAGTTGCTGAAAAAAAAGCAATCTGAAAAACAGGAAAGTGTAGGGAGACTGAAAGGGTAAGAAAATGTGCGTATTAACAAAAACCAATCTTAGGTTTTAAAACTTTATTAAACATTATAAATTGTCCCAATTCATAACGATACACCAAGTTTATATTCCAGTCCATAAAAACAAAACTCTACGAAAGGATTACTTCCTAAACTGAGATCAGAAGTATCACCATCACATCAAAGCTACTTAGAGGGTGGGGGTAGAAGGGAATGTAAATAGGAGCTGGGCTTATACAACCAAAAGAAAACTTGAAAAATCTATTCTCTTTTCAAATTCTCTCATTTTGTGGTTCCAAAGTTAATACTTAGTTTCACCCAAACAGAAATCTTGGTTCCCCAAATTCTAGACACAGCCAAGAAAAAACAGTGGTGGAAAATATGGTACATACGTGAAAAGATGAGAAGTATTAAGTAATGGAGAAAACAGAGGTAAGCAGCAGCATGGTGGCCCGCATCTGTAATCCTAGCACTCTGGGAGTCCCAGGAGGGTGAACTGCCTGAGCTGATACGTTGGAGACCAGCCTGAACCAGAGAGACCGACCCTGTTTCTAACAAAAGCTGGGCGTTGTGGAGTTTGAGGTTGCTATGAGCTGTATGATGCCAGGGCACCCTACCAAGAGTGACAAAGTGAGACTCTGTCTCCAAAAAAAAAAAAAAAAAAAGGTGAGTAGATAAAATCACACAGGGTTTTGGAGACTGGAGGCTAGAAAAAATAAGGACGAAGGTTTGACACTCAAACCATCAATATCCCAGTAAGTAGTTTCCAATTCCAGAGCGTGGTAGACATATTCATTGATAATAAAATGCTCTGAAATCTCATTTCAAATATTTGGTACCCTCTTAAGTTGCAGGCCCGCTGAGCAACAACTAGACCCAGGGGATTTACATACAAAATGAAATACAACTAGCATTTACTTGTTTACTGTGTACTAGACATTGTTCAAAGATTATTACATAGTACATATTTTGATTTATCCCCATAAGGTTAGTCTATTAATATCCCAACTGTGCAGATGTGGCAAAGAGAGGTTTAAGTAATGTGCCTTGGGACACACAATTAGTAAATTAGATAAGAAACCCAGGCAGTGGTCAGATTATAACAGACCTTATACTTTGTCCTTGCTTAAGAAGGATCTGAACTTGACCCTATTGGTTGGTGGTTCCACAGTGGAAAATACATACACCTACCAGGCCCCTCGGTTTGGGGAAGAGAGCATTTCTACTGTTGAGAATGACTGCCATCTGCCATTGTAAACTTGTTTTACTATTGGGAGTATATCCTATCCTCTAGATATTGAGGCAAGAAAATAACAGTAGGAAACTGCTATTATACAAATGATGGAGTTACTGGGTTCAGAGGCAAACAAATCCAAAAATAATACTCACAAGGAAATGGACCTGTGAGTCCTGTCACATTATTTGAGAAGGTCCTAGTCTATTTCTCTTCAACTTAAAACTCAGTCATAGGCTGGGTGCGGTGGCTCATGACTGTAATCCCAGCACTTTGAGAGGCTATGGCGGGTAGATCGCCTGAGCTCGTGAGTTCATGGCCAGCCTGAGCTAGAGGAGATCCCCATCTCTAAAAATAGCTGGGCGTTGTGACAGGTGCCTGTAGTCCCAGTTACTTAGGAAGCTGAAGCAAGAGAATTGCTTGCTGTGAGCTATGACAGCACAGCAGTCTACTAGGAGTAACAAAGTGAGATTATCTCAAAAAAAAAAAAAACAAAACAAAACAAAACTCGGTCCTAGACAAGTATTAGACTTAGCACAATACCCCATTACACTCCTCTGCATCCCCCCAGCACCATAACCAAATTTTAAATTTCTTTTTTTTTTTTTTTGAGACAGAACCTCAAGTTGTCCCCCTGGGTCAAGTACCATGGCATCACAGCTCACAGCAACCTCCAACTCCTAGGCTCAAGTGAGTCTCCTGCCTCAGCCTCCCTAAGTAGCTGGGACCACAGGCGCCCGCCACAACGCCCAGCTATTTGGTTGCAGCCGTCATTGTTGTTTTGGCGGGCGCGGGCTGGATTCGAACCTGCCACCTTAGGTGTATGTGGCTGGTGCCTTAGCCACTTGAGCCACACGCCAAGCCAAATTTTAAATTTCTATAAATGCCATGTGCTTCAAGTATAAATAGCTTCCTGTGACAAACTCAGATACTTCTTGCCAGAATAATTAACAATGTTTAACACATCACTCTGGACAACCACAGCCTCTGCCCCCTCACTGCTTTCAAAATAACTATATTTACAAGGGTATTTTCCCCCATTTGCATCTCCTACACATAAGTTCTGAGAAGCAATCAATTAAAATCCTTTACCACATTTTACCAGTCCCTTTTTTTCCTTTCAATCAACTAACCTGGTCTGTATCAATGCAAAGTTCCAGCTCTGATTTCACAAAATAAGGCATAAAGAGGAAAAACAAATTGCCCAACCTGGGTTATACAGAAGTACAGAACTGTGACTTGAGCCCTGGCTCTCTGCTCCCAAGCCCAGTGAGAAAGGCTTACAAGTAGTGGTAAGCGGGACGGTCTCAAGTGATTCACAATACAGGAAAACTGGGAAGGACTACGCCAGTGACTCGAGTTTGGGAAACAGGGCACCACACTCCTCTCCTTCTAATTTAAAGATTAAATTAACAGCAAGTGGGGTATTGAGCATTGATCACTGCCTTTCCAATTCTTTTTTTTTTTTTTATTTTTTGAGACAGAGTCTCAAGTTGCCGCCCTGGGTAGAGTGCTGTGGTGTCACAGCTCACAGCAACCTCAAACTCTTGGCCTTAAGCAATTCTCTTGTCTCAGCCTCCCAAGTAGCTGGAACTACAGGCATCCACCACAACGCCGGGCTATTTTTTTTGTTATGTTTTGTTTTGTTTTGGTTGTAGTTGTCATTGTTGTTTGGCAGGCCAGGGCTGGATTCAAAACCGTCAGTCCTGGTGTATGTGGCTGGCGCCTAACTGCTGAGCTACAGGCGCCAAGCCAGCCTTTCTAATTCTTCTACTTCATTTTTCTTGTCTTACTGTATTGCGTAGGTCCCCCAATACAATGCTGAATAGAAACCATACTGATAGTATCCTTATCTGATTCTTAGTGCTGCTTCTAAAGTTTCACCATTAAAGTATCATGTTTTTTAGACTAGTTGGTATACTTTAAGTTTATGGAAATTCCTTCTTATTCCCAGCTCAGCAAAAAAATTTTTAATGATTTCTGACCCACCTTTTTCCCTTCTCCATACTTCTTTCCACCACTATCACCCCCCCACCTTCCCTTTTCTCTAATTTTTGGTTCCTTTCTACATTTCTCTGCTCCTGAAAGTACTATATCTGCCACCCAAAGTAACTGAGACACTTTGATATTCTGGGTGTTCTACACCTGTCCGCTGTTTCAGTTTCCAGGACAAAAATGTTTCTAAAACTGATCATTGCAAGAAAATCCTAAAACAAACACTGTCTAATCATTTGCTGATCCTGTTTTCTCTCCAAATCACACACATTCCTCTTTATCTTCCTTTAAAATAAAAACTCAGTCATTTAACATAGGCGTACATGGCTCACCTCTTGAGTGCAGGACACATTTACAAGAGGGACTCTACTTAACAAATGCAAACATTGTAATCTAACTGTTTGTACCCGCACATTAACCTGAAATAAAAAATAAATAAACCAGTGAAATAATAAAAACTTAGGGAAAAAAAATAATTTCTCCATTCTTGTTAAGTTTCCAGTATGTTGCCTAGCTCTGAATGAGCCTAGTTTTTTCAGT